GGTGTGACGATTAGTTTTGATGTTAGGACACCAAAGTTAAATTATGTGTACTGTGAATTTTATTGGATACTATCGTTTTATTTTAGGTCGTTTCTATTCAGACCTACTGGAAATTGTGTATAGTAGTTGTATTGTGGGGATAATAATTAATGAAGAGGCAGGTATGCTATGGAAGGTAGTATCGTTGACTAGGTCTATACACTTCTCAATTGACTATTACTCTCTCTACTGTAGCACAGAAAACATACTACTATTCTGTGACTGTAGGCTACTTATAATCAGTGTGCGTCTGTGCGAATCGGCTGCCTCACTTAAACGCTTTTCACATCGTAAAAATTGCAGAATTGCTGTTTTATTGTAAAATTATCGGATTTAAAATGCATATCGTATAGGCCGTATCAGGTATATATATCAGGTATGTATTATGATGGAATAAAAACATATTTGGTCACACAACATTTGTTTACAAGACAATTTTTCACATTAAAACTGCAAGAAACTTTGTCTTTATATGTGTAAACTAGCTGATCTGAATTGTACACGGTTTTAACTGACTACTGAATTCCCGTACGTAGGACGGGCTAACACCTCGTTATCATAATAGCATATTTAGAAAAAAAACATATTGATTTCAGAATACCTAGTTTTTTAAAACTGCATGATCTTGTAGTTGTTTTAATTCCAATAACATAAGATAAATGTTATTTGTTATAACCTTATTTAGTAAATCAAACGTGTAAAATACTGTACCTATTCGATGTACATGTTAAACATGACAACGACATATCGCATGCTTTATACTGGATATTAGGAGCTAATGAATAACCGAAGAGCCGTTTATTTACATAAACCAATTAATAAAATCAATTACAACAATGCATCTTGGCCGATACGTAGCGTAGCTGACCACGGGGGTAGATTTCCGGGGGTAGATTTCCGGGGATAGATGTCCGGGGGTAGATTTCCGGGGGTAGATGTCTGGGGGTAGATGTCCGGGGGTAGATGTCCGGGGGTAGATTTCCAGTCGCGGGCTGTTTCTCGATCGTGTATAGGCCCCGCCCCTCGTGACGTCAAAATGACGTAGGCGTTTTTTCATGGGGGTAAATATCCGGGGGTAGAAATCCGCTACCCCTGGAATGCAGTGTGGGCCTGTGGAAGGGTAGTGACGGCCATTATCAACACCCCAAGCAAGCACTGATGGGTGGGAAGGGGAAATGTTTGTTTGGTGAATGATATATCATCTCAAGTGTCAAAACATTGTCTTTAGTTGATGTTCATTATCTGACAAGTTTTATGTCATTTGTTTATGTTGTAGTAATGTAAAATGTGACAAGAGGTAAAAAATACAGATTATAAGCCTATAAATATTTTCAGTCTTACTACGATTAATTAAGTAGTAAAGTCAATTCGTTTTTGTTAGACATCCACTTATCCTCAATTTAGTCTACAAAACTTTTTAATCTGGACGATCAATCTATAAAATGTCCACAATAAGCTTCAATCAATATAAAACTCATGATACATAACATCTGTTATCTGACGACCGTTATTGCATTAAGTCACTGGGATCGTGGAACGTTGCAGCTATAATTACGGGATGGTGTAATAAACCATCAATTCGTGCGGTGCATCGTCGAAAAATTTATACAAATCTCCTTGGCCTTTCCTTTAGATTTAAAGTTCAATGTCAGTGTATATTGTTTTGCAGTAAAACACCTAATGTTTTTGAACAGCCTTATTATCCCTTTGGTTAGTAAGACATCATACAATGCAAATGTATTATACAAGCAATTTTCAATAGCATTGAAATTGGAGGAAATCGTAGGAGCCATTTTTTAAATCATATCGTGCGCAATCTTTACTCATATTATAGTATATATTAGTAACCAAGATGTGACATAAAAAAAAATACTTTAAAACAACTGCTCAACGAACAGCTAATTTCTAATAAAACTAACTTTATTTTCTATCAGTTAGTTTTTCAACTAATTAATAACTTCTATCAGTTACTTTTTAAACTAACTAACTTATAACTTCTATCAGTTACTTTTTACGGGACTAACTTATAACTTCTAACTAGTTAGCATTTTTGACTAACTTTCCCAACTATGCACTCATCTCTTTCGCAGAATATTATTTGCTTGTTTTTTAGCGCATAGAAATGTTATTGTTTAAAAACTTAATAAAATTTAACCTAAAATATAAACCATTTCTTAATATAATTGATTATAACTATATGTCTCCTGTCAAAACACTAATCGTTCGATTTGTTGTTGTAAACTGTTTTGGTGCAAATGCTGTTTTTTTATAATAATGACAATTTGATCTTTTGTTTGTATCATGGGCTTGGTTGAAGAATATTATGTAATAACCGAACATGGGAATACAATCTTAACCCAAAACCAAAGAATAAGTATTGGATAATAATGGCCAATAATACAATTAAGTTACAAAAATCACGGGAGTTAATATGACATGTTATATCCGGTTACTCTTTCTCTCTCACACTCTATATTATATACTATATTCGTTACTGTATGTACTGTATATACAGGGTGGAAAAAAGTCTTGGGCCAGTTAAATATTTTAAAAAGTACTTAAGACATAGCTTCAATTTATTGACTCTCACAAGTGGCCTTGAACATAAAGTGCAAATCTGGATCCTCAAACTACGATTTTGGTGGCGGTTGTTTTAATCAGGACTTATACGGCCATTCACAAATTAGACAAAGCCCAAAGCTCGTACCGCTAGTTCATTGGAATACATAGCAGGTAGACAGACAGATAGACAGACGGGCGTTCCAAGTAGACTGCGCTGTACGAGCACGATATTCCGCCATTTTTTGGTGCGCTGTACGAGCACGTAATCACTCAAAGGACTGCTTTTCGTTCAAAATATGATGTGGTTGTTCTTTTGATGCCTTATATATTTCGTATTCTTCTATTGTGTCCATATGGCGTCCTTTATTGCAAAAATGTAAAATATCTAGATTATATGAATGTCCGTATAGTTATGGTTCGTGGCTGTTAGGTGGTTGGAAAAAGCTGATTTAGAGTTCTTTTTTGGTATGTGTTCTTTAAATCGGGTTTTGAAAGATCTGGCAGTTTGTCCTATGTAAATGCTGGGACAGTTGTCACATTTTAATCTATAGATTCCGGTTTTGTTGTTGTTATCTGTGTGGGACTTGCTCTTGGCTCTGACCAATGACGACATCTTGTTTGTAGTCTTGAACGATATTGCTATATCATTTTTTGCCAGTCCTTTCCGTAAAGTATCATTTAGAACTATACCGAATTCAGCGCTAACGTATTTTTTATTATTTTCATTGGAGGTTACTTCAGTTCGGTTACGGTGTTTTCTGATCAATTTGTCTATGAGGTTGCTAATGTATCCGTTTGACACTGCAATATGCTTTAGTATCTTAACTTCGTTATTGTAGTTGGTTGGGCTGAGTGGTATGGTAAGTAGACGATGGACAAAACTATTATAGGCGGATAATTTGTGGCTATAGGGGTGGTGTGATGATGAATGGATAGTTTGGTCAGTTGTAGTCGGCTTCCTGTAGATATTGAATTCTAAGCTACTGTGTTTTCTTGTTATAGTGAGATCCAGGAAATTAATAGATTTAGATACTTCCGTTTCAAGAGTAAATTTCATGTTTTTATGTACACTGTTGAGATATGTTTTGAGTACGTTGATTTGTCTATTGTTACCGTTGAACAATACAAGCGTGTCGTCCACGTATCGTCTGTAAAAAACTATTTTGCTGCGTTGGCGGTTCGAGTCTGACCAAAAGTGTTGATTTTCTAAGTTATTCAGAAATAATTCTGAGAGAATACTTGATAACGGCGACCCCATCGTTAACCCTTCATTTTGTTTATAATATTCGTCCTCAAATGTGAAGTAGCTCTGTTTTAGGACACAGCGCACTAAATTTATCAGTTCATTCTTTGCTTCTGTAGCTAAGGTGGAGTGCTTGTCTAAGTTTTTTCTGAGTAAAGTTTTTGTTTCATTTATAGGAACGTTCGTGAACAAACTAACAATATCAAAAGATGCAAGTATATATGAGTCTTTCATTTCTATGTTAGATATCTGGTTTACTAAGTCTACTGTGTTTTTTATGCTATGGCTATTTTCTAAAAAAATCTCTCTTCTGATAATACTGTCTAACTTTTTGGCGATTTTATAGGTAGGTGAGGGGGTGAAATTTACCAATGGTCTTATAGGTATGTTGTCCTTGTGTATTTTGGGTAAACCTCTAAGGACTGGGGTACTAGGGTTAGTGACTTTCAGGTGCCTGATTTCTTCAACAGTTAAAAGGTTCTTACATGATGATATTAATTTATTTATCCCTTTCGAGAAAACAGGTGTGGGGTCCTTGGTTAAAGTAACAATAGAGTTAGTTTCAATAAAGTCTCTTACTTTGTTTACATATTCTGACTTGTTGAGGATGACGGTACAGTTCCCCTTATCTGCTTTCGTGATAACGGCTTCGTTTTGTTGTAACTTGCATCGGATGCTAGTGGCTATTGATTTCAACGACTTATATTTCGAAATATATTTAATTCTAGGGGTGGGATTTCTTAATGTTTTCTGTATTTTGTTCGATACCATTGCTCTGGTGGTATCTCTTGCAAGGCTGGGATTCAGGCATTTAACGGCTGTCTCAGCATTCAGTAATTCGGACACAAGACTATTTTTTCTATCATTAGGGAAATTGAAATTTCCCTGTAAATATTTACTGGATGGATAATCAGAGAAGACTGATTGTAATTACTCCCAATAAACATAAGCCTATGACAATGTTTGCCATTAAAGTAATACTGTGAATCAATTACACTGTTTGTAATGATACTACCTCTTTTTTATTTTATTAAAAACTCATTGACAATTCGCTGGTTGAGAATGCAACTGTTCCATCTCCATTTTTTTGAGAAATTGAGTTATATATCACTTTGAACTATTTGCAATGCTTTCTCTATGTTAAAACATCAAAAAAAACAAAAAACAGTCGGTTTATGGGTAAAACTCAGTTTACTCTTTGTTCCATTTCCAAAAAAATCAGAAGAAATTACAATGCTAGTGGTCTATCTCCAGAGATGGAACACATGCATCCCTACTTTTGGCACTGACCAATAGGAATCGAGTATTCACTGGAGTTGGAACACATGCTTTCCAAATAAATTGTTATTGTTTGTTTATACAAATATACAGTTAATTCAGTCTTCAGTCCTTCTGCAGACATTGCGAGAATGGGTTATGTTCTTATGAGTTAAATGTTGGTAACTTTTCTGTTATTTAACATAATGTCGAAACTAGATGAAGAAAATATTATGTCCCTATTAAATGACGAATTCCTCATGGAAAGGTAAGAATGCCTACATTACTAAACTTACAGGAATATTCTTTAATTCCTTATATTCTGGACTTTACTTTGTTTAGGTTAGGCCTAAGTTTTAGGTTATTTTGCTTCACAAACAATACCAATAATGTGTTATTAAACTTTTAGTTATTATCTGGGAGTACAGGCTAGGCCTAGATCTATTCATTTAATGTTGTGACCTGTACGATAGGGCCTAAGAGGTCATAATCTGTGATTCATAATTATTGTTAAAATTGAAAGTTCAGTTTTTTTTATTTGTGCTTTCCTGTCTTGTTTACTAAAGTAGTGCTTAATTAAAGTTTTAACACAGTTATTTTTATTTATTTTCTTTATTTTAGTGACATTGAAGATGACCCAGGATTACCTGACACCGCCAATTCAAATCACAATGATAATTGTGTCATTATAGACGATATCCAAGTTGGTGAAGAAGTTACGCTTTTAGTTGATGGTTCTGGTGTCTGTAGTATCTATAATGCAGAACGTGAAAGCAAAGTGAATGATGAAGAGGCTGTTGCTAGTTTGAGCATTGATAACAGTGTTAATGCTACCGGTATGGAAATAGGCCTAAGTGACTCCCCGAACATTGATAACAGTGATAGTGATATGGAAATAAGTGACTCACCAGGAAGTGAGAGTGATGAAATGTGTGACCAAGGAAAAAAAGTTAGGAGCCGAAAAAGAAACGTCTGTAGGAAGAACTGGAAAATGGAAGTAAGGAAGAGAAAAAGACAGAGTGGAAAAGAATATGAAGATAGAAAAGGAAAGGTTCACAGAGCTAGACGGATTCAAGGTGATTGCAAAGGAGCATGCAAGTTTAAATGTGACACACAAGTTAGTGCTGATGAAAGAAAACAAATTCACGACAAATTCTGGTCCCTCAGTGATACAGGTAAAAGTCATTTTTATAGTAAGTTTGTCGAAAGACACACTAAGCAAAGGTCTCGTACATTACACGAAAATAATAGGAAGTTTTCTTATTTCTACTACTTGGGAACTGAAAAAGATATGCGCGTTAGAGTGTGCAAAGAATTTTTCTTTAAAACTTTGGACATAAGTCAAAGGAGGATATATTACTTTTTTCAGAATGTGTATGATTCTCAAACAGGTACGGCCCGATCCCCTTTAAAAGGTAAAAATACTAAAAGTCATATTGACGATGAGTTGAAGGAAAAGGTTCGTGACCACATTAACTCGTTTCCCCGCATAGAGGCTCATTATTGTCGAAAAGATAGTACCAAAGAATACCTAGAAGGGGATTTATCTCTGGCTGAAATGTATCGACTTTACTCAGCATCAGTAGAAAATCCAGTAAAAGAGTCACTCTATAGGCATATTTTTAACCATGAGTTCAATTTAGAGTTTTTTAAGCCTAAAAAAGATCGCTGCGACACTTGTGAAGCTTTTAAATGTAATCTGGAACCGAGTCAGGCAGAAACAGAAAGATTTAACTTACACAAAACAGAAAAGGATGCAGTCAAACTTGTTCGAGACAAAGACAGAGCTGTGTCAATAAAAGCTGTAAATGACTCAAATACCTGCTTTATAGCTTTTGACTTGGAAAATGTTTTTGCTCTTCCAAAGGCCGAAGTTTCAAACTTTTTTTATAAAAGAAAGTTAAATTGCTACAATCTTACAGCACATGTAACATACAAGGGCCAAATAGAATTATATTGTATGGTTTGGCATGAGTTGATTTCAGGTTGAGCTGGTAACCATCTTGCAAGTGCGGTTTTTAAAATTTTAAACCATGTATTTGCTCAAAACAGAGAAATCAAAAAGTTTGTTTTGTGGTCCGATTCATGCGTACCACAAAACAAAAACTCCATAATGAGCATGGCACTTAAATCATTTTTAAAGGAAAACCCTACAGTAATTGAAATTGTACAACGTTTTTCTGAACCAGGTCATGGAGTTGTCCAAGAAGTCGACGCAATACATAGCAAAATTGAGAGGTGGTTAAAACCTTTAGAGATATTCAGTCCCCTTTCATTGGTAAGGGTCCTGGTAAACAAAGCCAACAAAAGCTCAACAAAAACTAATATAATTCAAATGAAACCCTCAGACTTTTTTGATTTTCAATCTGCTTCAAAGTCACTAAACTATTCCATCATCCCCTACACTAAGATTAAAGAAATAACTGTTACCAATACCGAATTATTTGATGTAACATATAAAACAAGTTTCTTAAATGAAGAATTAGTAAAATGCAACATTGCAAAAGATGGACTGAGAGGGCGTGACAACATTTCAAAATCGCCTCGCCAGCTAAATAAAAAAACTACTACTAGCCCTCAAGCTCAAGCTAAGACGAGACCTAGCCTTCCCTCTGTCAACCCTATCACTTCAAAACCTATTCTGCAAGTAGAGAAGAAAAAAGCCTTGCAGTCGATGTTGAAGTTTATGCCAGCAGTAGACAAAGCATTCTATGAAACTTTGTTTCGGAACACTACGAATAGCTGAGCTGTTATTTGAAGGACTAAGACTAACCAACTATTAATAAGTCAATTCTAAGACTTGAAAAGATCCTTGTCTTTTAATTACCGGTAGGCCTTTGCTAGCCTGTATTGTATTTTAATGTTCTTTTTACTAGGTACCGTGCTATTGTATTGTTTCATTTCGGCATAATAAAATTATTCTTTATTTTAACAACTTGTTTTCTTACTTTACCTATCAACAAAATACCATTTCAAAAAAATATGATCTGTACTAAATATCTTATTTTGACATAGAAGTCACTGTTAGGTAGGCTAATAATTTTTAATATCTGGAGATAGAACAGGTGTACCCATAGTAGTATGAAAAACAACTGTTCTATCTCCAACATTGCTTTAAAAACACATAATTTTTTAATATTAAATCACATAATAAGTTGCCATGGTAAATTTTCACTAGAATACAGTTACTAATAAATATAGTGGAATTATTTAATTGTAAATAGTGCAAATCATGTGATTTCAACAGAATATCAAAGTTTGTTTTCAAGTTTTTGCAAAACTTGAGAAAGTGGAGTTGGAACACTTGCATTTTCACCCAGCGAATTATAGGTAATATTTTTTTACCTTTAAAACCCCCTTCACAGACCAATTGCCGAAAACACAACAATCCTAACTTGATAAAAAGTAAATAAACAAGTTAGCCTATGAGCATTTACTATTTACAAAGTGACGGGACGACAATCCACAGTGAAGAGAAGTGTTCATTTTTTTATTAATGACTGTAAAGAACTTCCTGGACAATATTTATGATACAGTAGTAGAGTCCCGCAAACTCGGCACTTGATAACCCGGCAGTCTGGATAACTCGGCCATCACCTGGCTCAGAAAATTAGTGTTTTTTTGAGTCTGAGTTAATCATGGACTCAAGCCAGCTTAAGTCAAATTATTCGCTACTGGTACTAAGGATTTATTATACTATATCTGATGACTTAATACTGACTTGTAATATAAATTTAAAAGACGGTTAAAACGCTTAAAAACTTAATTGTTCTTATTTTTAACCCTAGATCCCAATAACTCGGCATTTCACAAACTCGGCAGCCTTCCAGTCCACATTACGCCAAGTTTGTGGGACTCTACTGTATCCACTTTGGAATTGGAACAATAATATGTGCAATTAGCAATAATATTAACGGCCATTTTCTGAGTGTAAAAGTTTCATTTTTTTTCGTCAAAATGCTTAAAATGACGACTTGGCAAGTACGGTCATTTTATTAATGATATTTATTTCATTAATTATATTTATTATATTTATTTAGTTCAAGTTGTCTAATAGCACCACTCTTCCACCCAGTATTTGTATTCGTACCATCACACCCTACAACATCTAGCGTTTCCAATGAAATACCTTATTCATTGAGGTATGACACAATCAAACCTACTATTTCCTTTACTGTTCCAGACTGTGGAGATACATGTCCTATATAACTATAAAATCCAGGTTCTTTTATGAATGCATAATGCTCCTCTTTTACAGTTCGACGAAATTGTTTGGATTCAAATTTCTCTAGAACCAGTGTGTCGTCCTTGCGCCCATAAAATACATACTTTGTGCATTTTCTGAACGTTTTGCGTCTTCCTGTAACTTCCTCCTACAGAGGCTCTTCGCTCTTCTTACTTTGTAACGATCGACAACATTTGAGGTATCTGGGGGTACCTCGGAAGCAAAAAATACTTACCGAATTGGACAAATGAAGTATTTACTGTCTATAAAGTGCAGCCAACTTTACCAGAAACATATATTTTAAAAGATAATAGAGGACCATTACTGCAAAGTAGGTTATACGGTCATGAAATGTTAAAATCCACCGTCTGGGATGTTTATCTCGTTGAGAATGTGTTGAAAAGAAGTATCTCTTATATAACCCCCTCTCCACTACTATTTACTATTTATAACATAAAAATCTGTTCATTATAAGTAACATCGACTCCTCCCCCTTCACTTCCCTCCCCACCTCCCCAATCCTTTGTTGGCGCTGGGATGTATGACAGTGCCAAACCAATAATAATAAAAAAAAATTAAAACAGAATGAGGAGGGCCTGTAACATGAATTACAGTTTCTGAGGAAAGATTCAAGGGTTGCATGTGTGCTTACTCCTGATATCACTAAAATAATAATGAACAAATTTAAATTTTATGTTAGCAAATAACAAAACAAGATTAAAAGTATTATTCAACTTAAATAGTTCAATTTTTTGGTAAAAACTGTTTCAACCTTTTTGGGTCTCGTCAGGCGTGAGGTAGGCAACAGGTTAAAAACATAAATTGTAAACTTGGTAAAATATTGGCAGTTTACCAAACATTCAACAGCTGTAAAACGCCACTCACACGACAGTTTTTTATTTGTTTTTTTTCGTGTCAGTGCTATCTTTTACTTGTGCTTTAGAACTTTTCAGCTATTATCATAAGTAATTTATTACCCAGAACCCTCATTTTGCTACTTTTGTTTACTTACTCCGATCAAATACTTTTTTGACATTGTTGTATGTTAATTTATGTCCAACATCAGCTTTTTCTCCAAGCATTTTTTTGTTGTAGTTTTACCTGATAGGTATTTTTATCATGTTTCAATATAACAACGGTTTCATTCTTGTATCCGATTACACTGTACGTTTTTTTATCAAGTTTGTAGATTTTACTTTGCAAAGGATTTTGTTGTTTTGGTTTGCCAATTATTTCAAATAGGTGGTCTAATTCTGTTTGCTGCTCCTGCAAATTAATTTCTAGGTCTCGAATCTTTTTCTTAATTTCAAAATTTGATTTTTTAATTTCTTTAATTTCCTTCCTCAAATTATAGTTTTCGATTTTAAGAGACGAAACTTGGTGTTTTAAATTGATATCCTCTTGTTTGGCCAAATGCTCTATGCTCTATGCTTGGCCCTCGATGAAGTCCTCCCACTCCTGAGACCGATGTCCAGCTAGCAGGCGGGAGCACCTCCTGGCTTGTCGGTTGAAGTCTGCCTTCACACGGGGCAGAGGGACCGCTGTTACCGACTCAGGCGACATCGCAGGAGGATTTCGTCCCATGGGAAGTGGTGGAGGGGCCCTCAGGTCGACCTCGGAGCTTGAAGCTACCACCGTGTCTTGCAGTAGGGCTGTCAGGCCCAGACCCTGCTGGTCGAGCTCGTCCGTGGTCCCAGCTGGCGGCGGGGGCGGTCGAGGGACGTTAGCCAGGAGGTTGGCGAACTTTGCCCAGTTAACCCTCTTCCAGGAATTCGGAGTTGAGGCGTCTCCCTGGCGGGTTGTAGGCGGAGGAGATCTCCAGCTCCACTCCGTCGTGCTGATGAGGGCCACGGCAACGTCCATGAAGGTCAGGAGTTGGGTCGGCTTGTAGCATTTGTCCGTGATCCCGTCGGCGTTCCACGAGAGGATGCGGAGCCTACGCATGTTGTTGTTGGCAGAGTTGGTCAACCAGTCGCTCAACGACAGCCATCATACTCCTCAACCTGGAGATGAGTTGAGCCAGCTCAGCCTTCTGGGACGGGCTCTTGGATGACGGGACTGGGGCTGCCACCTGCTCGGTAGGCTGGACAGGGCGGCTGGGGTGCCGGGTAGGGTTGCTGGGCTGCAGGGCAGGGCTGCAAGGCTGACGTGGAAGAACCTCCAGGCAAGGAGTTCGCCTCACTTGAGGGTTCGAGGCCTCAGCCGGGATGCTCTTCAAGAGGGGTGGGAATTCTGGATCTCGGGCCGGAGACTCTGCCACGGTTGGCCGGGTTCCTAGGCGCTCGCTGCCTTCTTCTTCGTTGAGTCCGGAAACCCTCCTCGTCGACGTCGGCAGGCGGAGACTCATCTTCCCCCTTGGGTTCAGGCCCCGGCACCCGCAGATCGACCCGACGCAATTGACGGCCCTACGGTGTCGTAGCAGATTTCGCCGCTGCCGCGTAGGAAGCCCGCTGCTGCGTCTTGAAGCAGGAGCAGCCCCTGTAGTTGGCGGTATGGGACTCGGGCTGGACTGCTGGCTCCTTGGGGCACTCGCTTGCTGGATGGCTGTCCACGCAGCGGACCTGGCGGTGGCACTGCCCCGATCCGTGGCTGGTGCCCTAGCATTGGTTTGGATGGGGCCACTGGGGCGTTTGTACTGCCGCACCTCCACCTTGCAGTAGAACGCCCTCTTAATTTTGTTTACAGTTGACAGCTGGGAATACCCATCCGTCCATTGTGCGGATGGTGAGAAGCCAGAGGCCAGTTGGCATCCCCCTGCGAGTCTTCATCAACTTCGTCTCATGCACGTCGAAGTCGTTGAATCCCGCCACTATCACTTCCGGTTTCTTCACTGGCTATCTTCTCCTGCTGGACGGCTCTGAAGTGGGGGACGGTATCTACCCTGATGCGGAGTTTTGAAGAAGAAAAGGATGTTTGTAAAAATGAACTTTTTTCTGAACTGAACTTAAGGTTCTTCGTGAACTCCTGCTGGTCGCGGTAGAAATAGCTGCAGGCATTTAAGGGTTTATGAACAGAATTCAAAATCCATTTCCTAACGCATTCATTGCGTATAGAATTTTACTTACCATACCTGTTACTGTGGCAAGCGCAGAAAGTTTTTCACGCTTAAAACTTATGAAGACGTATTTAAGATCGTCTATGGCTCAAGAAAGGCCGTCATCTTTGGCAACGTTATCAATTGAATCTGACACATCCAAAATTAATTTTGACGATATCATTAATGACTTCGCTGGAATGAAAGCTAGAAAAGTACAGTTCATTTGAGGTGAGTTTAGGTTGATAATATTTAAACACAATTTTAAATATAGCTTTAACTAACTAGGCCTATACATTTACATTATTTTTTCCATCAGCTTAGCTGGTACTACTGTTTGTATTAATTTATATCTAACTCATACTAGGCAAATATATTTATATTTGCTCATATAGCCCATAAAATTCCAATTTTACTAGACTTCTATTGTATGATTAATTAAGTTCAATTTATTTACAGATGTAAATATTTACTGGATGGATAATCAGAGAAAACTGATTGTAATTACTCCCAATAAACATAAGCCTACGACAATGTTTGTCATTAAAGTAATACTGTGAATCAATTACACTGTTTGTAATGATACTACCTCTTTTTTATTTTATTAAAAACTCATTGACAATTATACGTAATTTTTTTTACCTTTAAAACCCCCTTCACAGACCAATTGCCGAAAACACAATAAACCTAACTTGATAAAAAGTAAATAAACAAGATAGCCTATGAGCATTTACTATTTACAAAGTGACGGGACGTCAATCCACGGTGAAGAGAAGTGTTCATTTTTTTATTAATGATTGTAAAGAACTTCCTGGACAATATTTATGATATCCACTTTGGAATTGGAACAATAATATGTGCAATTAGCAATAATATTAACGGCCATTTTCTGAGTGTAAAATTCAGCTGGTGGGTATTCCACCGGTTTGTGTTGTTAAACAAGGCCTCACAATTATGTTTTGCCCCAGGCCTCTCATTTTATAAAGACGGCTCTGACGGTGAAAAGTAAACATCTTATTATTAATTATATTTATTTGTAAGCATTGGAGTTCCAAAAGTCTGACATCGGACCCCTTAAAACCATCTGGGGCGGAGCCCTTTACGGATCTGCTCTAAACTTGATATAATGCTTAATAATGCCTGAAAGTTTCATTACAATCTGTTGAGCGGTTTCGGAGTCCATAAGGTACATACATATATACATACATAGTTCCTCTTTATAGATGTAGATTTAGTGTACCTATGTATATTTTCTATTGCTTGTTTCCCTAACACCAAATCTAAGTTACAGAGCATCAGTCCCCCGCTAGCTCGCAGTTTTTTGTTTTCTGTTAATTTTGTATGTTAAATATTTTTATGGACCATTCCTGAAAACCCCCTGGGGAGAACCAGTCTCGTCCGTCCCCCCTTCCTGTCGGTGCGCCCTTGTAAATAATTTATAATTGATCTGGGGGAATAGAAAAAACACCTTAACATATCTAGTGTTATTCAATTTTAATAAATAGTAAACAAAAACATAAAAACAAACAATCAACAAATAACCACCCTGAATCACTCATTGAAAGATATACAATTACCTGATTTTATAGTCAATGCTATTATTAAAACACTAAAATATATAATATAGTTAAGACTATTTACATATATTACTTGCATACTGAAGGCATAAGCATCTAGACTGCCAGTGCAACTCCGAGGATCGTGGATCAGATCGGAAAACCCCCCACCACCGCTCCGTGCCGATGGCGTGACGTCAACCATAACCGCAACCATACGGAGCTGAGTCATGAGCCTTGCTGGTGTAGTGGATAGCGCGTCGGGCTAATAATCTGAAGGTGCCGGGTTCGAATCCCGTTGGTAGCACTTACTTTTTGTCAACAAATTTTTTCATATCAGCAAGTTGGTTTGGTTAGGTTATGACAGTTTAATTTTATAATTAAAAATTATAAAATTGAATTTGAGACATTTATAATTTTATTTTTAGAACAGAGCTATTTTTTCGATTAAGTTCATTCGAGTTTATCATTATTAGCAAGTTTGGTTAGGTTATGACAGTTTAGTTGTATTTAATTTAAATTTAACCTACAAATTATACATTTTGACAGTGATAGAGATAACAATTTTCCGCGAACAGTTAGATAGGCTATGCTGATGAGCCGGTACGATTCGGAAGCGTACGACATGGTGCGGTGGTGCCACAGCGCCTCTGATCCACGATCCTCGGAGTTGCACTGGCAGTCTAGACGCTAGTACAGAAGGCTCCTTCTTGTTTTGGATGGCCACCTTTGACTGTGGCTGTACCTAATCATCTGTCAGTATTTAATTGATTTTAACTTAAAATATATGTTACCAATTATTGTTATCTAAATATTTACTTTCTTGTTTACCTTTTCTTTTCATGGATGTTATATTTTTTTATTAATGCAATAAATCTTATAAAATGTTCATTATGAAATTCATTTATCACTGTACAACCACAATAACCACATGACCAAGAACCAATTAGAGAAAAAGGCCATGGTGCAGGATCCATGACGTTACACTAGTGAATAGATTTGTTGACGGATTCAGGCCTTGATTCAATGCAATGTCCCATATGTTTTAGGTAAATAAGCTGGTTGTTTGTCAGATTTTAACGGCAACATTTTAGTACAGCTATCAACCACTGTCACGTAGTCGATAGATGCTGCCCGCGCTGCAGCATGGCCTGTTTTTCTAGTGGGGCCTTGCTTTGACTCATAAGGTTACACATTGTTTGTCACTATCTATCAACGAACACAACAATATATTGTTTGAAAGCAACTTAACTGTTCATTTATAATTTCTGTTAGTAGTTTTTTATAAAACAAGGATCCTTTAGAACTGTCAGTACAAGATAGAATCAACAATAAGTTAATGCTTGGTTATCTACTTTACAATGTACATGAGGAAGTAAGACTGATTTGCTTTTCAAGTGGAACATACATTTTTGAAAGTTATAAAACATTTCTGAATAGGCTAATAAAAATAAGTTGAAATCGTCCTTTGGAAGCAATGGATTGAGTAGACATTTTTTATTACAAAAAAAATCTTGTCCATCCGTAAAGTTTGGTACTCTTGGAACACACCGGAAACCGGAAGATTCAAACAGAACACGGTGTATCCTCTCACATGGAAGGTTATTTTACACTTTAAACTAACAAAAATCCTTTGAATAAATAATGACAAAAAAAAATATACCTGTTAATGATTGGCCATCTACTCTACTTTTACATGCAAATATTGCTTTACAAATACAGCATGACATTTCATAGTGCATAGATGGAGCTTTAAGATACGTTTAATAGAAGTAAGGTATGTATTATTGAGGTTTCATACAGTGGTTTCATACAGTACCAAAGGTTCTTAGAGGAAGTACCAGTACCAATAAACTAATGTTAAAATATCTGTATTAGTACTTGCAGCATCCTTCCTTGAGTGATTTTTGAACACCAAAATGTGGTTCGGATTCCATTATAAAAACTGTAGGTCCCTTAGTTGCCATTAGCTGTATGGGCTATTAATTAACAGCTGTGTCTAAGGAATAAGTCGGCCTTAGGCACTAATAAGACTACAGGATCGCGCCACTCATCCTACACTCATCTCCATTCATACTTGGCTTAAAATACCTACTTTGTATGGTCGCCATTTCATTGAAAAGTATTAAAAGTATTAAAGTGCCAAAGTACCAGGAGACCGAGCTTTGCTAGAATTTAAAATAAACATTACATTTATTTAACTTTAATAAATAATACAACTCATTAAAAAAACCCGTTATGAAAATTTAAGATTGCTATAAAAATTGCCTGTTTCAGCTGTTTTATGAACTGCAACTACAAAAAGGTATTAGCAATAACATGGACAATTTAAAGGGCGATAGGGTGGAAACTGGATTTTTCTCAGCCTTGTAACCAATTCCAATCGATTTATATACTATTTTGTTTATTATAGGGTCTCCCAAAAACCCTATAATGAACAAAAAAATTAAAAATCCTCGGAAAACACCATATATGAATTTGAATAGATGGTGTTTTTGGCCTCTGGGGACATCAAAACGAAAAAGTAAATCGGTCCCAGGTTCAGGTCTTACTATGAGACCTACGGTAATATCTTATTCCCTATATAGGAAATTCGCTAAAAATCAATATCAAGTCATTGATTTTATTGTTACGTTACGCTATGATGTTAAAATTCTTTAGGATTTATTGACTTAAGTACAGGTAGGGGTTTTAAGGTAAGTAGGCCTACACTATTAAATAATTTAATCTTTTCAAATTAAATCAAAAGTTCTGTTTCTAAAATGAATAATGGATGTGTATTCTATTTCATACAGCAGATCTAAGAACCACATTTTTCTCTTTTGCATCCTCTTTCCGTTGCAAAGCATGGGTACAAACAGCTTACAAGTACAACAACTGAACTATAGCAGCTAGTACAAACATATGGAGTATCTATGTTTGCAAGATGAGGGGGCGTAAGTTCATATGATAAGCCTAGATGAACTTACGCCCTTTCTTCTTGCAAACGACGATATATACCTTAACAAAATCATTTTTGTGATTAACATTTTTGATTTATAACAAAGGAAATTCTTACAAAAGGTTACCAGTCAACATTCTCAGTCATGTTACACACAAAACTGCACAAGAAATACTTAAACACAAGAGATTTTAAGCAACTAAAATTTGTTGTTACATGTATAACATTTTAAACGATTAGCAGTGTAAAAAGTACAAAACTAACAATACAATTTTACCTCGTTAAAACTGGGTTTTTGTGTTTTTAGGTTGTTAAACATTTGTTATTTTTCATATGAGCCTTGGTTAAACTCTTGACTATGGATACACCTACACTTTAATATATTAAGTCGATGGTTATACACACCCCACCAAAATGATCTAATCTCTTGAAGGTATTAAAAGATGGCCAATGTTTATTATTATTAACTTTACACATTTCCACCACTTCTTTGTGAACAATGTCTTTTCTGTTTAATGATGTCTTTTTATGTTTTTTCATGCTTTAGTTTTATAGTTCCTGTGTCTAGGGGTTCTTCTTCTTCTCTTTCTTCTTCATTTGCCGTTGAACCAAATTTCACTGAGATATCAAGAAGCTCTCTTAGACCCTAAAAAAGTTTTTTAATATCAAAACCTTAACCAACAAACCACATGGTTCAGAGATTATACAGGGTGATTGATATAAGTGTGCCAGCCGTTTTATTCGAAAACTATAAGAGATATCAAAAAAAGTTAAAAGGTAAGTACCTTGGATTTTTTATTTCAAAAATTGTAGTCAAGTCAAAAAAATTATTTTAGCCGCCATTTTTCCAATATGGCCGCCAACTTTGATTTTTCTTATGGAACACCCTGTATTTTATGATGTATTCTGGTAGAAAATGTAATTTTAAGACAATTTTATTCTTGTGATTTTTTTCATAAACCTAACCGTTTCAAAGATAATAATGGTTTAAATTGTGAAATTTTGAATGGTTTTCAAATAAAACCGCTGGCATGCTTTATTTAGGCCTTTATCGAAACTCTTTCTCATGCAAAAATTTCAAAACTTTAACCATTATTATCTTTGAAACGGTTAGGTTTATGAAAAAAAATCACAAGAATAAAACTGTCTTAAAATTACATTTTCTACCAGAATACATCATAAAATACAGGGTGTTCCATAAGAAAAATCAAAGTTGGCGGCCATATTGGAAAAATGGCGGCTAAAATAATTTTTTTGACGTGACTACAATTTTTTAAATAAAAAGTCCAAGGCACTTACCATTTAACTTTTTTTGATCTCTTATGGTTTTCGAATAAAACGGCTGGCACACTTATACAGGGTGGCGCAGATGGATCCGGTGGTTTTAAAATACTGGTCAAACTGTCAATTTTAAAGGTATTGGATTGAAATAAAGTGCAAAACGTGCAGTTACAATGGAAGTTTATTGAAAAAAATTTGTTACGTTAGTTTTTAAAAATTACATCCATCAAATGCCTTCCTTCTCGAGCGACGCATTCTTGGAGTCGGTCCTTGAGGTTTCGCATTGCTCGCTCAAGCACATCACCAGGAATTGATGTGATTTCATTGTGAATTGCAGCCTTCAACTCCTGAATGGTCCGGGGTTTGTTCATGTAGACCCTTGCTTCAGGAGTTGAAGGCTGCAATTCACAACGAAATCACATCAATTCCTGGTGATGTGCTTGAGCGAGCAATGCGGAACCTCAAGGACCGACTCCAAGAATGCGTCGCTCGAGAAGGAAGGCATTTGATGGATGTAATTTTTAAAAACTAACTTGAACATTTTTTTGTCAATAAACTTCCATTGTAACTACACGTTTTGCACTTTATTTCAATCCAATACCTTTACAATTGACAGTTTGGCAAGTATTTTAAAACCACCGGATCCATCTGCGCCACCCTGTATCAATCACCCTGTATTGGATTAGAGCGTTAAAAGTTCATTCATTATCAATAATTAAGAGCTTATTAAATTTGTGTCTCTTAGCCAGTGGCATTTCTTTTTACACTTTAGTAAAAGATTGGTCCAAAACCCGGTCTTGTTAGTCTTTAAAATTGACCTTTTTTTGATATGATACTTTAGCATAATTAATTGACAGCTCAATGGCAAGTTACATCTGGGTCTACAATTAATTGATCTCTCGTCAAATTGAACCAGCGTCATTTATATTTAAAGACGAGCACTATAACTATTAGGCTACCGAGATAAAATACGGGGTGTTCAAAAAAGTTGGGGACATAACTTTGTACAACTAAATCTAAACTTCTACTGGACCGATTTTGTTAATTAATGGGTCATTGGAAAGCCTAATTCATGTAGATTTGCAAATAATTATGAAAGTGTGATTTTCACAAAGTTAAACAAAAATATCCCTAATTCAGTATTTTATCATTACTATAAATTCAGAGGTTGCTTAGCCTTTTTGCAAATAACTTTTAAATGTTGAGGAAATCGACCAAAGTGGAAGGTGATATTCTGAAAGAATAAAATTTCCTACAAATTGGTACCATGCACTTCTTGGAAAGGCTCAAAATAAGCAGCCAAAAGTCGCACCCAAATGAAGTGTGAAAAAACCCGTTTTCAATGTATTTCTTATGGAAAACATTTTTTTTATTTTTTACCATAAATCATAACAAAACAAACTTTCATAATTATTTGCAAATCTAAACGAATTAAGCTTTCCAATGACACAATAATTATTACAATCGGTCCAATAGAACTCTAGATTTAGTTGTACAAAGATTTTTAAACCTGAATTATACTGTATATATAATAGATAGTAATATTTACTGGACAAGTTGTATTTGTGGGCGTTTGAAGCATGGATTTAAATGGCTTCATTCGGTAACAATTAAAATTAAAATATATATTGTTATACATTTTTTGAAAACTCATAAAATAGGTTAAAAAGTTTTGTTTCAAACACATTGCCGTACGACCTACTGCAAAACCAGGGATTGGCCTGATCTAAAACTTCACGTTTTATATAAAATAATATTTATTATGTATCACATATAAAACCCCATCCAATAGAGATAATGCTACATGTAAGGTTATTTTACCAAAGGACATTTAACGGGGAGTTCAAAGAAAAAAACAATTATGCTGATAGCTCATTTACATCAAAAGATATAGCCTAGGTGATTTAGTAAAACACTACACTTTCAACCTGGTGTTTGGGGGGAGGGGGGGTTTAAGAGGAAGCAAGGGGGGGGGAAATTCGGGAAACTTTCACAAAACACCCCTTCCTATTATATACTATCACCATGCAAAAAATCAGCTTTACATCTTTCATGTCTAGGTTCTTACCTAAAGTGACTGGGCTACAATGACACTGCCCTAAAGTTGGTTAAAGGTTATTTCCAAAATGGTTGGCCTAATAACAAAAAGAGTGTACCCGATTGTGTCAAAATATATTACGGTAAACGTAATAGCTTGTATGTCTCTAATGATCTTGTGTTTTTAGATGACTAACTAGTTGTTCCGGTTAGCCTAAGGAAATCAATGCTTATTTTGTTACATGAAATCCATCTAGGTTGTCAGAGGACTAAAGCTAGGGCGAGACAGCTCATCTACTGACCAGGTATGTCAGTTAACATTGATAATTTTGTTTCAAGTTGTTCTTTGTGTCAAAGGTACATGAATGCAAATGCTAAAGAACCCTTAAGGTCACATGAAATTCCTATTTTACCATACAATAAAATTGGTATGGATATTGCTGAGTATGGGGGTAAAATCTACCTTATAGTGGTAGACTACTTCAGTAAATGGTTGGATTGTTTACCGCTAACATCTAAAACTAGTACAGATGTGATACGGGAACTGAAAAAATTGTTTGCAATTCATGGTATTCCCTCTAAAGCAATTGCTGATAATAATCCGTTTGGGTCTTATCAATTTAAAACTTTTGCAGCTGAATGGAATTTTGAGATTGTCAATTCAAGCCCCTTATACCATAGATCAAATGGCCAAGTTGAGAGAATGGTCCAAACTTTTAAGAAAATTGTCAAGAAATGTTGTGATGAAAACAAGGATATAAATTTAGCCTTGTTGGAGTTCCACAGCACATCTGTAGTAGGTGATTTATCTCCGGCTCAATTACTAATGAGTCGTAAATCAATAGTGTAAATCAAAGTAGAATCCCAGTTTCTGCTAACTTGTTAAAACCGCAGGTACATGATCCTAGTCTAGTAAGTAGGCTTCTTTCTAAACAGCAGGAATTGCCTGCTACATATTACAACAGAAGTACTTGTCCTAGACGGTACTTTAAACCACAAGACAAAGTATTTGTGTACAATGTTCACTCAAGGATTTGGGAACCTGGTGTTGTAGTAGGCTATACAGCTAACGCAAGGTCATATGTTGTAAAACTATTTCGAAGTGGAAGAGTTGTTACGCGTAATACATTTCATCTCAGGTTAAGACCTTCAGATGGTCAAAGTAATTGGTATAGTGACAATCATGACCAATCAAATGTCTGTGTTGAATCACCAATTAGGATTAGGCATTCCACTCCGATGTCCAGTAAAAGTGTGTCACAGCAACACAATGAGTCAATTGTAAATAGTCCAATTAAGCCTATTGAACAAATGCCTTCAATGAATGGAGATATTGAAAATACAACTGATGAACCTACTTCCAGGTACGGTAGACCTCTTAGGAAACCTATTAGGTTTAACGATTACAAAATGTAATCAAATGTTTTGTTTAGTAAATATAGCCAACTCAAATTTAAAAAAAGTGCTATACTCTTTCACTGATGTTAGGTAGCCTAACTGTTTGTCCCTTAATCTCTAGGGAAAATTTGAGATCTACTTGGAGATGATATGTTGTTCACTTTGTGTTTTATTTCATACATAGCAGTTGCTATTCTACTTTGTACAATTTCAATTTATATCATGCGGACCCAGCTCTAAGATGCAGAGACAATAACCAATAGTTGACATGTGTACTTAACAGTTGTGAGAAAATTCGAACAGGCCCAAATATCGATTTAAAATTGTATAAGAACCTCTGTAAAATTGTGTTGTTTGGTTGTTGTTAGACAATCATGAAATGATTTTTAAGTATTAATAATGAGTTAAAACCCTCCCCTCTTAGCAACTATTGAATCTATTACTTTCAAACTTACTATGAATCCTGTTCCAAATTGGGGGCACTGTTTCATTACTTTATTTATTATACCTTGAGATTCAAATGGATCTTCTGTTGTATTCCTCATTTCTTGAAGTCCTGCTATAATGATCTTTTGTTTGTCTAGTTCATTCGTGAAGTTCTTGAGCTTACCAGTCTTCAGTAGAGAGTTTATGTTATGTGTCGCAATGTAGTTTACTTGTTTGTGTTTTATTTTGTTTGTACGTTTGTGATTAGAGTCAAGTGGTTTCAAGTAATTTGTTTCATGTGAGCCTTTTAGTTGGCTACCCACCGAATCCGATGTAGCCTTCTCCTTCCCCAAGGGGTTGAACTGTTGAAATGTTCTTCTAAAAGACCTTTCCATGATTGACTGTCAGAAGTTAAACCTTTGGGTGAAGCAAGCTTTGAGTTACAACTATGGTTGTTAGCTACAGAGGATATGAATCAGCCGCCACTAACATGTGAATCAGACGCTGTCGGGAAACCGCCACTGACATGTGGAACCGTCGTGCCCTTGGTGTTACATCAGAATTTTCCTTCTCCTAGCCTTTGGATACCCAAGCCCTATCGTACAAGGCAGTACGGGCAGTGCTTATTTGATGGCGGCACTTCCTCGCCATGACACAGCACTATCATCGGGCTCATGTGGACTTGCTGAGTGTGACCCTGCCACAGATCACCCTCCCACACCCTCCGGTGCTGCCGCCTCGGTCCGGGACTGCTTATTCGGGTTACCCCTTATTCGCAGCTGTCCACCATATCTGATGGAACGTCCGCTATCCGCCAGCTACGACCCGCCCTGTACCTGAGGCTCGGTTCCCCTAATAGAGCATAAAAAAAAAGATAAGATCATAGATACCAAACAAGGGCAAATTTGATTAAGAAAACACAGTATAGAGGTGGAAAAAACTAGACTATATACTGTTTGTTTCTTAATAAAAATTTTCCTTGTTTAATATTGATGATCTTATATTCTTACGTACTTCTAAATTTGTTTATAAATTTTGGAAATCATGAGTTGGGTAAAAAGGTGGTAAAGCTGGGTAAAGCTGGTGGGAAGGCTAACTTAAAAGGTGACTATAGTTTTAGTTTATGGCCCGGGCCAGTCACATTTCGGTGAAGGGCAGGAGACAGCTTCGATCATACAGACACGAGTAATGGTATACAAGCAAAGCAAGCTTTGTGGCAGTAACTTCAAACAGGAAAGATCACATCCGCTCATGAAACCTCGATTTAAATTTTATTTTAGTGGTAAAATCATTATAAATTCACTAAAACGACACGAACCTTGTTTTCTGTTGTCAACTGGACAATCTTTGCCTCATCTTTATCCCCGTTGTCATCGTCAACCCTAGCAGCCATCTTCATAACAGCAGCCATCTCACTAATTTTGTCAGCTTGTTTTTCAATCACCTAAACAACATACTTGCACATTAATAAGATAAAATTATCCCAATAGCGGCTATAAGGGCCCGAGAAAAATCCCCAGAGAGCCAAAGAAAAATATTTAAAAACTTATCTCGCTCACCTATCATTTTATATGATTATGATTAGCAATGTGTTCATACCTCTTTACAATTATCAGCACTATGGGTTGTTAGGACCGAGTAAGTATCGGTACAGACAATAAACTTTGAAATGTGAGTACGGTACCAGTATTTTAATACCAACAGGACAGGGTAGGCCTATTTGCAGTGACGTTTTGGCGATGTAGACTATGCGATGAGGCATCGGGCAAATTGCGAGTGTGGTAGTCGTTAGCTTGATTATTCGTTGTTTTACTTAGTCAGGGTGTCCACAGAAAATTTGTCATTGATTTCCATGACTTTCCATGACTATCCATGACCATTTACCATTGATTTCCATGACTCACGAACTTTACTCGAAAATTATAATGTAATATACACACACAAAATACTGCCTAGACAAGTTATTTCAGAGAAAATACTGGAATATGTATTAACAGATAACAATGGAGTAATACATTTTGTAAAAATATGGTATTCAAAATATGGAAGGAAAAAAAGAAAACCCAATCTACTCCGTCCCCATAGCTGGCCAAGTTCACTGTCCAATTTCTTTTTTCCTAACTGTATACTTTTATTATTAATTTTTTATTGAGTTTACAGTGTTTCCAAAAATTAGCTTAACAAAAAAGACATAACTTAAGACAAATCAAAACATTATAACAATATTTGTATTGCAATTTGAGTTGTAATAATGAAGTTGTAACATTTTAATATACTGTACCTACACTACTGTTGCAACAATATCCTACAAATATTAAATTAAATTATAAGATAAAGTAGGTATAAAGTAGGTATTGAACTACAGTATTACAAACTCGAAACTCTCATAAACTAATACAAACACTGTAATAAATTGAAGTGTTGTGAATTTATGAAAAATACTGAAAAAAAGCTACAATAGTTGGAGTATTAAGTCTTGTCAAACCTATCCATCATTGGGAATTTCCATGACTTTCCATGACTTTTTGCCTATTTCCATGACTTTCAATGACCAGAATTTTTTTCCATGACTTTCCCTGACTTTCCAGAATGTGGACACCCTGTTAGTGTAGGGTACATTGGGTAATTAGCGCTGTATCTAAGACAAAACTCGAAACCAAAATTAGAAAAGTGATCACGAGAATGTTCTGTGAACAACTGTTTCAATCATGGCATGGATAATTTTCTGTTTTCAATTCACTATTGTATTGACACTATTGTAATTCTTAACGAATTAACAATAAAGAATATTGTATTGTATTGTATTGTATTGTTTTATTCCCACTTTTGAACTTTGAACTTAAGTTTGAAGTTAAGACACCCAATATGTTAAATTACTTAAAACATCAGGCGTTTTGAGTGTTATAATCTAGAACCACATTATAGGACATTGCGGTAAAATTTAAATTAACTTCTTGAATATATTCTTGTAAAATATTTCTTCATAGACTTTTATGTTAGAACATTTGATAGAATAATACTTTAATTTTATATTTATAAAATCTAGGCTAATTAAGTTATTTTATAATTAAGAGTTTACTAAACACATTTTAGCGAATTTCCCTATAGGGAAGTGGCTATTACCGTATGTCTCATGGTAAGACCTAGGCCTGGGACCGATTTACTTTTTCATTTAGATGTCCCCAGAGGCCAAAAACACCATTCGTTCAAATTTATATATATATATATATATATATGTGTGTGTGTGTCCATCCACACGATAACTTGAGTAATTTTTGTCCGATTTTGATAAAATTTGGTTTGAAGGTGTAAGGTAGGATAAACTTGAACCAGTTCGCGAACCAGCATGATCGGACTATGGGAACGGGGGTTTACGGGGGGTTTTATGGGGTAAAAAGAGGTTTTTCCCATTTTTGACCCAAAAAACATAAAATTTAGCAATTTCTTTCCAGACCATTTTGTAGAGCTTAAAAAAACAAATAATTTAGTACGTTGAAGTGTTATTATGGGCCTAATGGTTACGGAGAAAATTCCAAAAAAATGTAAATTTAAAATTCCCATGTTATTCTTATGGAGAACAAGTAAACAGTTGTAGTTTGCTTGTTTATGAACATATTTTGATCAAATTTGGAAAATGTAACTATTAACATAAAAAAAAAAAACAGTTATGACCTCCCTGATGCAGCAAACCTAAGTACTTGTTAAACTAATTCTATTTAAATAGGAAATAAATTTTATATTTTTAAGTAGACATTTTAGTGTAAATCCAATCAGGCAAATGGAAATTTGCTTAGTCTGCAGGTTTGCTGCGGCGGGGGTATTTGATGTTTAAAATTAAAAATAAAATTAATTTGTGCACTAAAATACAAATTTTACTTCATAAATGTTTGTTTTTATTGACCTGGAAGTAACCTCCAGGTGCGCCCTCTCCCGTTTTGAAAACCAATGTGCCCTCTGATAGGTTTTTAAGCATTTTAGACAGCGGTTAAAATTTAAGTTGAAAGTTGAATTTCATCCAAAAATGCATTGCATTACAAAAATATTTGCTAAATATTGCTCACATGAGTGTACTGTTGATTGTAGAGAGATTGGTAGTCCTGACGACTCATGTTGACTAGATGAGTCATCTGTTGTCGGTACTTGCTCATGATGAGCTCCAGGGCATTCTGGTGTTCCTCTAATGCAGCTCGCAACTCACGGTTCTCCTACAAACAATAAACAGTGATTCTAATGATGTAACCTGTACTATATCCTAAACCACTTTCAACGTTAAGTACAGTTCATAAAGGGAGCATTAACATTAAGGGGCATCGGACTACCGAGTACGTTGGATTACCAAGGGACAACTTTAATAGCAAAATTAGATTTATTTCCACGGTATTTATTTTATTTAGACACCCTTAGAACAGCACAGTAGGAAGTATGCAATGCTCACCTGCTGTAGTTCCCGCAGATGTCTGTTCTCCTGTTGGATGCCAGCAATGAGGATGGAGTGTGGCCGTTGTCTTGCAGCCTCATTCAGCTCTCCCACCTCATCCTTGTACTGTCACAAAATATGAGGTAACTTATACAAAAAATGTAATATATTATAAATAAACTTATTATTAAGATACACAAAAAGAGAGCTTCCTCTGATGTTTGATGTTTAAAAGAATCAGTAATAATGTTCTAGTAGGTAGTCAGTGAATTAGACGAGGGTCCAGATAAAGATTTGAAAACTTTATTTTTTACAAACTCTAGTAAAATGCAACTACTGTAGACTCCCTCTTATCCAGGACTGAGGGGAGTCCAGCTAAACTAATGTCCACTGAATCACTTGAAAACTAAACCAAATATTTTACTTAAATTTGAGAGAGCATCGTATTTAGACATGTGATTACTGGTCTCAAATTTTTCATCAAGAGAAGTAGTTTCAGTACCACCCACTTCCTTCCATTCCAGTTAAAACATTGTGCCAAAAATATCTCCAGTTTTGTCACTACTGCTGAGTGTAGACTGGTGTAAACAATGCATGGATAAGAGGGAGTCTACTATCTGCCTAACAAATATGATTATCAATTAGGTGATCAGTGACCTCCAATTTTGGCCAAGTGAGCTAGTTCAAATTAACACCAGCACCGTGTTTTCACTTCCACTTCAAAACATTCTAGCGGTTCCCTATGTGATGATTAGTCTTGAAGTAGCCGATATTGATGATTGACAGAGAAAATCTACGATTCTGCCAATGTGAAACATATTCTACAGACAGTTTCTGTAGGAGGATGGTCAACCACTATTATAAACCTTGGTAGGTAGGAAGCTTTGTTGGTGATTGGTAATTTATAGATATAAAAATACAAGATTCATGGCATAATACTGTACCTGTTTCATTGCATCAATCTTTTTATAAACAGACTGAGTCTGTGAAAGGATCACATCAGCTGCCGAATCGTGTTCCTTCAATTTGCTGGACAGTTTTTTGGCGTCTTGCAGGATTTGTTGAATTGTTAAAGACATCTAAAAATGATAAACATTTACTTAGATTATGATGGAATAAAATTATCAGCCTATCTTAAGAAAGTACCGTAATTATTCTGATACCAAATGTCTAAAAATGGCCAGGAAACAAACCAACTTGCAAAGCAGGAGTTAGTCAAATTGATTAAAATTCCCTTGGAACCAACAAAAGAAAATGTTATGAAAATTAGAACCTTAATAATCCTTACAGTCTCAATTTAACAAACTAGAGCTACCGTGTACTAGTCTCTATGGGAAACAATTGCCATGGGCCATGTCGCCATGTGTGGAAAGCTTTTTTTCTTTTTTTTTACCAGGAGTCGATGTGAGTAGGCAAATAACGCTTTTAAAGGGAAAGCGGTCCAAACCTAAATGTTTAGTGGATGTGACGGGAATTAACCCATCCCTCTCTCACCGAAGTTTAGACGCTAACCAATAGGCTAGCAACACACCCAACTTTGATGTTTCCCAACTAGTGGTTTAACTGACTTTTGGATGGTTACAACTTGATGTAATGCTCTTCAATATTTCTTTAAATATCTAAGGAATGTCGGCCTTAGTCACTAACAAGACTACAAGATCGTGCCACTCATCCTACACTCATCTCCATTCATACTTGGCTTAAAATACCTACTATGTATGGTTGCCATTTCATTGAACAGTATTAACAGTATTAGCCTAAGTTAAGCCTAATTAAACATCTTGAACTAACAAAGTTAAACTACTTACACTTTTTTAATAGTCTAGACCCACAGACAAACCCATCTACGTTTCCTTAGGCTACGTTTTCTTTTGATGAACCTTACCGTTCTGGAGTTGTGGAAGCATATATTTTAGCATATTAATCTTGAGTATTTCAGTACCTAACTTAATTCATTGTGATGTGGCTAAAAATAAATAAAACTTTTGGTTTGTCAAACCAAATTGTAGTGTTCACCACACTAAGCTTCAATTGTTATATTAGACTAATGCGCAAGGATTTGGTCCGGCTGTTAGCCGAGCTTACCGGTTATTAAATGGGGGAGGGGTTTCATTAACTTTACTAAAAACTGCACTGTAATGATTTTTTTTGCAAAAAGTCAACAAATCAATAAACAAAAACATAGCCTCTCTTAGACTTGAAGTATGAACGTAGTAGCTGTTAAGTCCTTTATTAGTGGGCAAAGAATAATTTTTACACGCATCTGTGCGACCAAAAAACCAAACAGCTATACAGTAAGTTAAAACAGTAAGTTACACTGACCAGCAAGTGTCGGCCTACGGCCTACTACAATTGTAGTAGGAGTAAAAAACTTAGGCCTACTAGAAATTATGTCATAAAATCCTTTTCTTATGGATGCATATTCATCTCCAATCTAGCCTATACCTATTGGACACCTGGACATCATTTTATTTATTTATTTATTATACATTCCAACGGCAGAGCCATTTGAAAAAAAGCAATATTTAAGTATATTTGGTACGGTGATTTGGTAAGGGTAGACTTCCGTATCTATTGATACAAACAACCGAATGAAATATCGATCAATATAGGCTATTGATTATTAGATATATCGTTTGGTTAGTAGGCCCTATGTGGTTAACTTAAGGTTAACTACTAACTAAGGTAACCAAATGATATAGGCCTATCGAATGAAACAATCGAATAACCGATATTTTCATTCGGTTGTTTGTGCCAACAGATACGGAAGTCTACCCTTTGATAAGCCTTAAGTATTCCTATTAAATATCTTTTTGCAACTTAGGAGGTATTTAACTTAATGCTAGTTTATACCACAACAAACGTTTTAACAAACTAACTTTACACTAGGCTGTCTTTAGTACCACATTGGCTATCAAAACCATTTTTTTTTTTTATAAACTACCTTTCTTGTATTTTATTAGCATTAACTAGGCCTAAACTAAGTAAAACTAGGCCAACTAGGTTTTGAGTCTTTTTGAATTAACCCTACCCTATCCAAGAACTTTTAAGTTACTAGGCTCTTAGGTAATTTCATCCAACAATAATTCGTTGGCTAGGCTAGGTTTCTAGCGGAACTGTACCAGTTTTTTTTAATAGGCCTATAAGAGCTTAAAAACATAGGTAAGTTAGCTTAAAAACATGATAGGGTTATGTTTCTAACTGAGGAGTAGGGTAGATCTGGCAAACAAATGGATGTCAAGTTATTTAGACCCTATGTAAACTAACTTACTGTTGCTTGGATGCATTCTAATTATAACCAGAATCAGAATCTTTATTGCCGTTGATCAAATACATTGAGATAGGCATTGTCAAATTAGGCTAAATATTTACATTGGTCGATAATACAAAGTAACAGAGTAAAAAAGGCTTAATCTAAAGGCTAGATTAGAACAGTCGAATCCAAGAATTCTTGAAGACGAGACGACAACATGTTGTCTTGACGTAATCATACATGTAAATAGGCCTATCCGCCTATGTCTACTTAGTATAAAATGACACTTACTTTTAAAGATGTAGGCCTAGTCTATCAAAAATAGTGCTCATTGTCACCAAAATAACATTGATAACGCAGCCTACAAAATATTGTAAAATCCGACGGGCTCTATTGCGTAAAAACTAGATTTCACGTCCGATTTTAATACACGATGACTTATTTTTCTACTGTAATAAAAGTAACTGATCGCTTCTTAAACAGATTTCGAGATCGAGATCCAACACTCTTCACTCTCACTAGTCTCACTCACGATAGAAAGTTAAAAAAATTCTAGGGTAAATGCTACAGTTATTGGCACCTTAACGGTAGGCTTCAGAAAAATCTACCACAGCTCCTTTGCAATAGTTTTTTTAATACTACGTTTTTTTTTTAATCATGTAGCAGAATGTACTGAGAATACTGGGATGTATAAAGAAAATATATATATCATTACTTAAGTTTATTAAAAATTTTAAATGTTAAAAAATACAAAAACCATAGTTATTGGCACCATCAACCATAGCTACTGTCACATCTTGGCACAGTTATTGGCACCTATAAAAAAGTCTACAAATATTACATTTTAAGCGTACTAAGGTGGTCTCTGTTGTCTTTACGTGATGTAACTTATGCCTAATCATATTATAGTATATAGAAGAAACAATGAAAATTATACAGTAAGTAAAATTAAAATCCTTAAAATTGCTCATGGTAGGCCTAGTTTCAGTTCTTTGGCAACACCTTTACCGAACTTAATACCGTCTTTATACATATTAATTGGTATTGGTTCGTCGTAATCAATGCCATCAAAATATTTCCTGTGAAATATTTCATTACAACGTTCACATTTCATCTTTTGTAGGCCTATTTTTTATTCTCTTTGTTACGTATTTGATCCTGATTGGGGCTTTTCGACGGAATTTTAATGGTTTTCCACCCGGCATGGATCATAAACATAAAGAAATGACGTTTTTGGCCCGAAAATAAACATTATTTAACATTGCATAAATGGAACTCCCAAAACATATGTTAATGCTATTAGTATAGGATTCGGGCCAACAACGTCATTTGTTTTTGTTTATGATCCATACCGGTATTTTTCTAGGATTCGTGGTTTTAAACATAATATGATGGATCGGTTTTTGGTTTACCCTTTTTTAATATGGTAAAAATTAGTTATGTGAAGCTTTGTATCTTTATATATATAAATTAAGTATATTGGCCTAAATAAATTATTTTTTATAGCATATACTCGTGTAACCATGTTACTTAGAGACTTCCATGACAGTAAATGCTGTTACTGGCAGTGTCACCTGTTACCAGTGACTACAGTCATTGGCATGCCAATAACCACAATAATTACCAGTGCCAATCGGCATTAGTGTATTTACCACAGTTATTGGCATGCCAGTTACCACAGTTATTGGCAGTGCCAAGGTTGTGCCAATAACTAAATTAAAATTCATGATTTAGCCCCTGAACTGTTTATTAGACTAATATGATCAGGTACATACCTTTACGTCAACAGTTCCATTTTGTAGTGAATAACTCACAACATGTTTCGCCTATTCAGGCATCGTCAGGTGGTATCCTAGCAAGAATGCTTTGTCTTCATCCATGATGGAGTCGTCAGGAAACATTTAAATAAATAACACACACATTACGCACGAAAACATTTAACAAATAGAGTAGGCCTACTATTACCGGTCGCGGTACGGAGGCAGACTGAATTTGCTGGAATTATGTAACACCGACCCCTCCTCCGTTATCAGTAGTTGTACTACAAAGGTCAAACTGTTCTGGTCTATTGTTGAAGGATATTATGGCATTGAAGATAGAGTGTGATTTGAAATTTAACTGGTCATTTAAAATATGGTTTTTATTGTGGCTGTCTTTGAAGCTTTTGTAAATTTCAAACTGTTCTAGAGAATCCAATTTATTTCCTTTATTACAAACATGGAGAATTTCCAGGCTATTGTCAATTGTATCTATGGTGTGATTTTTATCTAATAAATGCTGGGCGAAAGTGGATTTTTGTTTGTCTGCTCTGGGGTCGGGGCGATGTTCCTTGTGTCGTTGAGTAAACGATCTAAATTGAAGTGTATGGATTGTCCGGATTTTTATATCGGACAAACAGGCAGATCGTTTACTCAACGACACAAGGAACATCGCCCCGACCCCAGAGCAGACAAACAAAAATCCACTTTCGCCCAGCATTTATTAGATAAAAATCACACCATAGATACAATTGACAATAGCCTGGAAATTCTCCATGTTTGTAATAAAGGAAATAAATTGGATTCTCTAGAACAGTTTGAAATTTACAAAAGCTTCAAAGACAGCCACAATAAAAACCATATTTTAAATGACCAGTTAAATTTCAAATCACACTCTATCTTCAATGCCATAATATCCTTCAACAATAGACCAGAACAGTTTGACCTTTGTAGTACAACTACTGATAACGGAGGAGGGGTCGGTGTTACATAATTCCAGCAAATTCAGTCTGCCTCCGTACCGCGACCGGTAATAGTAGGCCTACTCTATTTGTTAAATGTTTTCGTGCGTAATGTGTGTGTTATTTATTTAAATGTTTCCTGACGACTCCATCATGGATGAAGACAAAGCATTCTTGCTAGGATACCACCTGACGATGCCTGAATAGGCGAAACATGTTCTGAGTTATTCACTACAAAATGGAACTGTTGACGTAAAGGTATGTACCTGATCATATTAGTAATAACTAAATCACTACATATTTTAGACACAGTTGTTGGCACCCTCATATATTAGGTAATTTTAAGTATATGGGTAAATGGGTGGCGGGAATAGACATATCAGTCCTTCCTAATACTAATGAAATAATGAAAACGTAATTTTTAACGTTCAGTTTTAATAGGAAACAATAAACAGGTATGTAAGTCCTTGTCAGATTCTTAAGGAAATGTGAAGAATCAATAAAAATCGGCTAAGCATTTGAAAAAAAAATTCTGTGCAGGTTAGCATGGCCTCTGGAATAACCAAACACACACTGAAGTACAGTGAACTCATGTGGGCATCTCAGCAACTAACTCCCCTCTTCCACCGACTTTTGCATTTAGGTGTACGAGGATTTGAAAAAAGGTGCCAATAACTATGGTAGTGCCAATAACTCTAGCTCTTACCCTATTAGCAAATAAATAGCAATATAGCCGCAGCTATTACAGCTGTTACTCGTTATAACTATAACCACAGACAGAGAAGTAATATAAACACTAAGTAACTATAACAGCTGTTACAGTTAACAGCTGTTACTCTTACTATGCTACAACTAAGCATGGAGCATGGTGGAAGCAGTAAATAAGGGCGAGGCATGTTTGCCCCCTAGGTGACGTCACGATACCCCTTCCCGCACCGCACCGCCTGCAGCCGGCTACAATGCGCAGTAGCACACCTTATTTACTTCCACCATGCAACTAAGTACTAACTGACAGACTGACTGACGTAGTGACGTTGGACGTAACACCATAGATTAAACATACTCCCTAAGGGAGTATGTTTTATCACAGACAAGGGAAACAAAGCAGACAGCCAACGGTCATTCTCCAATAGCTCACCAGAGTGCAGGCGCGTGTCGTCTGCCACGCTCCGCTATTGACTCCTCTCTACGTTACCGACCTTCGCGACGCAAAGGAAGTGACTTACCGTACGCACGCGCTTCGCCAACACTCGCGTGGCTGTACTATCACGATCACGTGTATTCACCTACCGCGGCGGCTCCCTTCGTTGACGGATTTGTAGCAATCTATTGTACTGTTAATATTTAGTAGTATTTTTTAGTTTTATAGTAAATTTTTATATTGTAATTTAATATGTAAATTAGTAGTATTTTTATTTTTAACATGTCCGGTAATTTGTGCGCCTACGCAAAATGTACAAACAGCAGAGCCAAAGTGAGTGGGCTAAGAATGTTCTCCATCCCTCATCACAACACAGACATTTGGGTCCGGAACTCTGGTAAGTAAATTTATATAATTTTTATTACTTACATTTTAATTATAAATTTTGTAACATTTTAAATTTACATAAGAGTTGCTTAAAAGTATGTTCTAAACTATTTCTAAGAGACGCTTAGAGATGTTTAAATGTGTATGTGCAGCAAAACTGCAGACTAAGCAGACTGTGGCTGGTATGTTTACGAAAATATTACGGCTGGTATAAATATACTATAAAAATGTTCCCTAAAAATTGTCAGATTTACTTCCTATCTAAACAACATTAATGTTAGTGAGCATTTAGGTTTGCTACTACGGGGAATATATTGAGGTGTGTTTTAGATTAATTAAAAAATGGCCAAATTGTATTTATTCTCCATAAGAATGACATGGAAATTTTTAATTTAAATTTTTTTATTATCTCCGTAACTGAACATGTCTCCGTTGTGCATAGAACATTGCTTCAATATTCTAAATGATTTAGTGTGGTTTTGAGAGAAATTAATTATGACATTTTGTGAATTCAGGGTAGAAAATGGGAAAATCTACTTGTACTCCATAAACCCCCCATAACCCCCCGTCCCCATAGTCTGATTATGCTGGTTTGTCAAATCGTTCGAATAAACGTAGTTTTACACGTTTGTACCAAATTCCATCAAAATCGGAAGAATAATAGAAAACGAAGGAGGATCAACAGTAAAAACCCCCATTGTAAAGATTTCCATTTCATAAGATTTCCAACCATATGCTACACTATTGAGCTTTTCTTTTGTTTGTTTTAGTGGTTTGCATAATAGGAAATAGGGAACTGTTTTACTTGTTTACTTCAAACAGGAAAAAATACAAGTTTTGTATTTTTTGTACACATGCTGACTTTCTATGTTTTTTTAATGTTAAAGACACTACGTTCTACAATAATTGGCTAAAACATTATCTAATTAATCAATCGATGCATAATTTTGATCGATACGATTGAAACAATTGAAATTTAGTACTGTTTACAACAGCTGATTTCTACTCCCTAGAGACTAAAAATGATTATTGCTCTCCCTGTTTTTATTAAGAAACTAATTATTCTGTAATATAGCGAAAAGTAATGTTACTATTACTTGATTGTATTTCCACTTCATTATTTCGTTAAAAATAGCATATTTATTTCTTATTTATATAACATTAGATTCTTAAGTTTGCTACTACGGGGAGGGTAGTAAAGAGTGTAATTTTAGTAAATTGTTAACGGCTGAGTAAAAAAAATAATCAGGCTATAGCTCAGTCAATAAAGGTTGTGTTTCGGAACTTTTAGTGAGAATACGTTTTTTTA